TATTTTCCCCCCATATGGGGATTCATTTCTTCCCGTTTTTCTTCTCATTCTACTGAGCTAAGGCAGTGTCAAATTGAGCTGTCACAACTGATACCACCTTGTATTATGGCATCATGAACCCAACCCAACAATATACACGCACATGGACATAACCGCACCCCCACCAACACGGGGTCGCCGACAACTCCTAGTCCCTCCAAGAATCTGCATGGTGTGCCAGTCCAGAATATACCGTAACCAGGGTTACCGCTGGAAAACTTTCTTTCCTACCAAGAACTAGTTCAAAAACCTACCAAAATGGCTTCTTTCCTACCATTTCTTTTAATCAAGAAAACAGCGTTTACAGCGCTAAATACATTTATTTTTGCTGGTTATTATACTTTAAACTAGATTTCCAGGTAAAAAAAGGTCAGAATAATAGCTTTTATGTATATAAATACCAGGGATGTTGCGAATATTCACATCATTTTACCCATTCGCATTCGACGTTGGCATTCGCATTAAATGATACGAATGTTTTGCGAATGCCAATGTGTACATGAGCAGAGAGTCCACTTTAATATTATTTAAATGGCTCTGTGTGTCTAACCAGGATGCGGACAATAACCGGCTTTTAGCTTCAGGCGCTAAACGATTAAGTAGTACATCAGCAAACATCGATGGGCCTTCAACAAGTACTGCTGAAAGTCTTATAAGCAACCTAGAAATAATTTTAGATTCCTCCAGCGAAAGCGAAGGCTCGTATTTAGAATCTGGAGACATTAAAAATTGTAAAATTAATGGGTCGATTACGGAATGCAACCGAACTTCAGTTGGGTGGCCAGTGGCTGAAATGGTATTACTAATGTGACCAACCCTACTTCTTTCGGAAGTACAGTACTTCTTTTTTCGCTCTTGTACTTCGTACTTCGAAGTACAGTCAAATGTACTTCTTTGCGATATTTTGCATGATAAAAACATAGCAAGGTAGAACCGTTCTCTCAATTTGTCGGCCATGATTTTTTTTTTAAGTTTGCCGACATTTTAAAGTCATATAATAGTGAAAATAAAAAATTTAAATTGTTCGAAATTGTTGTGGCTTGAGATTGAAAATGAAAGTGTGTGTGTGAGTTTGTGAGTAAATTTAAAAATTAAATTGTTTGGAAACGTCAAGAATTTCAAAAGTGACTCTCAGCGGTTCTACCTTACTATATTTTTATCATGATATTTTGTACTTCAGGAGGGAGACTCTGTATCCAGTTAGCGATAATTTTAGGATCGTTATCACACTTTTTGGCGCATGATATAAATGTTTTTGCGTCAAACAGTCCTGTCCTTTTCCGATCTTCTGGACGATAATCGCTTGGTCTGTCGCCGGGGACCAATGGCATCATACGTGCGCAGCTGCGAAGGGTTCTGAAGGTGTCGTGCTATTGGTTGGATCCTATTTATGCGAACTGCGTGAAGACCGGGTACATTCCAAAGCTTGGAAGGTAGTCAGTGTTGCGTGTATCTCGAAGACCGGAAAAGGCTCTCATGTTTCCCCTAGGGATTTTAGTCTCTTCGTT